AAACAACAAGGCACAATCAAATAACAAGTGAGAGCCAGATAAAGAGAAGCAGACTGCAGTGGAAACAGGCTGGTGGCAGAATGGATACTGGTGGAAAGTAAGCACATCTAGTGCCCTGTGTGTAACCAGCCACCAGAGAATCATGGCAGTGACAGATCAGGGACTGAGGACAGCTCCACTATCTGCAGGTCTTTCCCAAGAAGGGCTGGAGTGTGCAATCCAGAGGAAGACAGATACGAATTCTAATGGTGTTTAGGTACTGTATGGTGTAAATTCTCCAAAGAAAGATAAACATGCAGAGTCTCCTTTTTTATTGTTTGCATTTTTATCCAAGGGAATTTTCGGCCATTCATAAAACATACCCAGCATCTTGCCACTCCTAAAAAGTCTGTTATCAAACAAGAAAATACTGTACCTGTACAGCAGAAAATGGAACTGGGAGATCAATACTTGGAGGTTTCCTGCTGGTGTGTACCTTATCTTGCTACTGCATGTAACTTCACCTTTTTCCAAGGCTTTCCACAGTGTCTGACTGTCAATCTGAAAGTTATAAGGTCTGCAAGAAAGCTTGTGATCCTTTAGTTTTAAGGGCAGGGTATCACTCAGGTTGATAAACTAATGGGGCAGCCACTGGTGGGGAAGAAAAATAAATAAATAATGAGCACAAATAATGCAGCAGGTTTAATGGCAGAGAACGCAAAGTGAATCCTTCTTTTCCTTTCGCTCCCATCCCAGCTCACTCTCTGTAGCTCATCTCTTATTAATCCCGAAGCCACGCTCCCGAGATGCAATAAGGCTGCTTTTCCTTTTCCCCGCAGAAGGGTGATAATAGCCAGATCCTGAATGGAAATAACCCTGCCAACCATTTCAGATGTCATTGACTGTGCTTGTTTAATTGGTGCTCAGATGAAACATTATTAGCTTATGAATTCAGAGGAAATAATTATTTGTCAGCTTATGTTGGTTTCTCCTGCTGACATGTGGGTGGCAGCGCACAGCGGGGCCCTTCACGAGAGAACCAAACAATCGCCTGCTTCTCTGACACAGCTGGGGTGGCAGTGATTCTGAGACGCGTCTTTAATGAATTCTGGCCTTCGTCTATCCAATCTGGGGCAAGACAGCACAGCTCAATTAGTTGAAAGAGCTCTTGGGTTTTTTCTCCTCATACGAAACAGTTACTGAAATAGTAATAGCCCAACAAATTAAAACAAGACATGCAATTAGCTTTGTCTCGTTAAAGCAAAATAACTGCCGCCATACAATTGCAGGGATTATCTCCCTAACAGTTATATTACATTATTCTTCCCTTTAGGGTTCTATGCTTCAACACAATCTTTAATACCTAATATTGGTTTACAAGACTAGGTTCAGAATTTAGGGCATTCCCTTAGAAGCAGTTGTTGGCAGAAACAAGCAAGTAAATTGCATATACTGTACAGTGCAGTCCATCCAAAAAACACCGTAGAGTCCAGCACCTTGTATCAGTGTTTCTCAACCTTTGCCATTTCACAGCACACTTAACGTACATAAATTGAAAAAAAGTGGGGTACACTGCCCCCCTCCCACAAAAACATCACCAGCCCAAGCACATTATTATTAATATTATAACAATTTATTTCAATGTTTAATCTGGGGTTCCCTTGAAGTGAAGGATGAGTGCCTTATCCTGGTAGGAACTGATGATGGTGAGACATGGAGCATGTGCTCAGTCGCTCTCCGGCTCGGATTCCCACGTGTCTCAGAGCATGCCCTCAGTCTCGTGTGTATACATCGAACATGCAGCCTGTCACTTTATTTACAAACCTGATACATACAATGTTTTTTTTCTCATATGTGACTTTCTCAAAATATCTGTGGCACACCCTCCTAATACCTTAAGGCACACCGCAGTGCCTTGGTTAAACAGTTGATTACAAAACAGCATTTCTCACCAAACACATCTCATGTTGTTCATCAGCAATAACACAGTGCACCCAAAACCAATGTATGTACAGTCCATTGTATATTCTTATGAAGAAAGCACTTTTAAAAATAACCTAATTTTATGTTTTTGGTACTATTCTTGTGCAAACTGTATTTTCTCATAGTGAGGTGAGTCAAAGGTTACAGGGGAGATATTGGTAGGGGAAGTAATAGGCTATTTAACTTCACAGTACTCACCTGCTTCATAGAAGAGCATCCATTTTAGCTACACAGTAAGGAGAAAATGCATGCATGGTGCACATCATGAATCAGAGGACACAAGTGGGCCAGCAGTGCACTACACAGCAGGTCAGGATGAGAAATGAGAAGGAGCTTCATCAGTGGAATTGAGGTGGAACATTAGGATGTTCAAAGTGAGCAAGATTTGCCAGCAGCCATATCACCCTGAAACTCACAAATGGCAACCCACTGAAGCTAAGCAGAGTACACGGATCGGAGACCTCCTGAGAAAAACTAGGGTTGCTGCTGAAGAGGTATTAGTGGGGCCAGTAGGGGATGTTCACCCTGCGGTCTGTGTGGCTCCTACTGTTCCAGTATAGTGATACGAACACTATACTATAAAAGGGTGCAGTCCTTCAGATAAGACGTAAAACCGATGTCCTGATTCTCTGTGGTCATTAAAAATCCCAGGGTGTTTCTCAAAAAGAGGAGGGGTGTTACCCTGGCCTCCTGGCCAAATTTCCTCTTGGCTTTTACCAATCATGGCCTCCCAATGATCCCCATCTTATGAACTGGCTTCATTATTCTGTTTTCCTCCCAACAAATAGGTGATGTGTGACTGCTGTTGCATCATCCAAGTGGGTGCTGCACATTGGTGGTGGTGGAGGAGAATCCCCACTACCTGTAATGGAGTGGAGTGTCCAGAAAAGCGCTAAGTGTAAGGAATTATTTTTGTTAATTAGATCAAAATGGAAGCAACAGACTGTGCTATTGCTGTTTCTTCATCTCTGCAGAAAGTGCATTTATTCATGTTGGCTCTTATTGCAAAGTGTATGCTTGTTACTGTCAGACCCAGTGATATGCATTTATGATTTTAATGTTCATGGTAGTTATGTGTAGCTTTTCTAAATGAAAAGTAGTTTTGTTGTGTCCTCTGCAGGGGTTGCATCAGTTAATTAATTGACTGAATGTATAGAAAAGAAACTAGATGTATTTGTAACTCATTTTTGCATGAGTGCAACAGGGTACACTGAATACTAGGGATTTAAGCTTGACACTTTTAACATGGTGTTGACTGGAATTGCCAGTCTGCCAGTCTCAATAGTACAGTAACTGTACTATCTGAGTGAGTCTGAGACTTGGTATATCATGTCATGTTCAAAGTCTTCAAGAGGATTTAGTAATTCAGAGGAAATAATTTGTCATCTTGTCGACGTTAATCTTATGGGTATATTCAGAATTAACACTGAAATGCCATTTTGCTTCAGGACACTAGAGGAAACTAAGGTTTAATAGTGAGAACAGGACATGGGAATCTAGAATAAGATACACAACCATGTTGTTGAAGTCAGCACCCTAGCTTTCTTCAACAAGTAAATAGAATGTGTAACAATAGTAATGTTATTGGTGTCATATATCTTGTGGGCCGTTTTATTTGGTTATTGAAGCCCAGCACATATTTCTAATACATTAAAATGGGGGCAACGGTTCAATCAAATAATTCAAGACTTAGACTGTGTTAGTTTTGACAACATGCTTTGGTATCTGCTTCCTATTTTAGAGCTGGTAAATGGGAGGTGAAAGAGGTCTGGGCCTAAATGGAGCCCTCAATTAGCAGCTGGCATCTTGGAAAGCTGAGGTAAACAAGAACTTCTTTTCTCTTCCTATTGCTACCAGTGAAAGAAGAGCATAGCAATACCGAGGCATAAGAGTTAAGGGCATAACATTGCCTTGACAGTGAAATTCAGGATTAAATCATGATTAAATTCATGATTAAATATGGAGAGATCTACTAGTTCTTGTATCTTCAGTCCCTGCAAAATTACTTGTCCTACAGATTTCTTTGTGCATTTCAGTAAGAGCTCTTTCACAAAGCTGGAGGTCTTTGTTAGCTATAAAGATTTACTGGATTGTGGTTTTTAATTTGTGTTATCAGAAAGGTGAATAGTATTGTTAATAATGCCACATTTGGGGGAAATGTCTGTTTGAATGGGACAAATTTACCCATCAAGGAACACAGAAGTTTGGTTAAGTAGCCCAAAAGAGTATATCACTTGAGTATAAGTTTAATATATATATACTGAGAATATTATTTGAATTTTAATGTCTCTCCATTTATGTACAGTAGTTGCTATACAGTATTGATGCCCTGAGTTATATTTTCCACTCAAATGATTGGAAGGTTGCTTTGATTCTTTGGAGACAATCTGATCCCTAACCCTAAACTACCCAAACCCTGATGGCATGGTTGTGTTCTAATACAGAAATTTAATTTAGGAAAAGTGATTGTTCAATGTTATCTTCAAGTTGTTTTTTTCTTGCCTTTTGACCATGCAACCCTCCCACAGTACAATCTGTTGAGACCACTTCCGAGCAGTTTCCAAAAATGAAACAGTCCGCCATCAAAAAGTCTAAAATGGCCTCCATTTATTTAAATAATAGTTGCTGCAACAAAAAATAACAACAGAGCCACGTTCCTCTTTCAGCTCCCAACTGAAAACTGACTCACAAGCTTATCCTCTGCCTTTAATTAAAGAGGGTTCTCCCCTTTTAAACACCCACAACACTCTTAAAGAACCCCTCTACATAACAGTCACATTCACCTCAATAAAAACACAAACATTAAAACAAACATCCATTACCAAAGTCAATTATATTTCACATTTCCCTGAACAATATTTGAATTCCTTATTGAAACATGGGGGTTATTATTTTAAAACACTAGTGTTCAAAAATGGATGGGAAGACCAGCTCCCCTCCAGTCCACAAGAGGGCACAATGGAAAACATGCCGGTGGCCATCTGGTTATTGCTTCAAAGGCTTTAAATCAGGCCCTGCCCCTGAATGTGGTTTTGACTGGTAAACCAAAATGAGGTGAAGTAGCTGCAGCCAACAAATAACCAATAAACCATTCACAAAAAGGTAAGAATTATATTTACTTCAAAATTATAATGTAGGGGAGCAGGCCCATCACATGCCTATATGGCTCTATAACCTGCATTGCTCTAAATTGGAATGTTGACTTAATTGCCCTAAAAGCAAAAGATTGAAAGAAATGGCATCAGCTTTTCAAACTGTTGCATTTGTTATTTAATACACTGGAATTTTAACAGATACAGCTACAATGTATTGGCTAGTCCTGACCCTTAACCTATTAAACCCTGAAACCATGCAAATTGAGGACACCATTCAACATGAACTTTCTAATGACAGGATACTTGTCAAAAAATAATATTGCACCATAGGTCACACATTTTCTTTGGGTTGGCAAGATTATTGAGTGTTTTAAAGTTAATATATTGTTGCCCTGAGGTATATTTTCAGCTCAAATGAGTGGAAGGTTGCATTGATTCTTTGGAAACAATCTGAACCCTAACCTACCCAAACACTTAGCTGAGGTTAGGGTTAGGAGTATTGGAAAACATTGAGGATGTTTGATGGCATGGTTGTGTTCTAGGCCAGAAAGGAAATTTAGAAACAGTCATATTTCAATGCTATCTTGATATTTTTTTTCTTGCCTATATGGCTCTATACCCTGCATTGCCCTAAATGGGAATGTTGACTTAATTGCCCTAAAAGGAAAAGGTTGTAAGAAAGGGCTTCAGCTTTTCAAACTATTGCATTTGGCATTTAATGCACTGGCATTTTAATAGTCACAGCTACAATGTATTGGCTATTCCTGACTCTTAAGAGTCAGGAATAGCCAATACATTGTAGCTGTAACATTGAAATATGACTGTTCCTAAATTTCCTTTCTGGCCTAAAACACAACCATGCCATCAAACATCCTCAATGTTTTCTAATAATCCTAACCATAACCCCAGCTAAGGGTAATGGGTAGGTTAGGGTTCAGATTGTTTCCAAAGAATCTATGTAACCTTCCACTCATTCGAGTCGAAAATATACCTCAGGGCAACAATATATTAGCTTTAAAACACTCAATAATCTTGCCAAACCAAAGAAAATGTATGAATTGTGCTACAATTTTATATTTTGACAAAACTCCTGTCAATCGAAATTTTGTGATGAATGGTGTTCTCAATGAGCATGGTTTCAGGGTTAAATAGGTTAACCTGTTTAACCCTGAAACCATGCTTATTGAGAACACCATTCAACACGACATTTCTAATGACAAGATACTTGTCAAAAAATAAAATTGTACCACAGGTCATACATTTTCTTTGGTTTGGCAAGATTGTTGAGTGTTTTAAAGCTAATATATGTTACTGTATATATATACAAGTTGTGTTTGGCATTTAATGCACTGGCATTTTAACAGATACAGTTACAATCTATTGGCTATTCCTGAATCTTAACCTGCAGTGAGATGGACGCATCTTATAATTTTGAATTTTACCCTTATACATTGATCTTACAGTATATCTAAAAAATATTTTTGTTTCACCATCAAGCGATTTGTATTTGTTATGTATTTGTATGTGTTAAATGTGGTCATATATTATACAATGCACACTATAATATATGTTTTATCTGGATCATTACATAATGTACATACATTTAATAATATTGGAACATATTTAATATCAATATTAATATTAATCCTGGTCAGCTCAGAGATTTCAAGATAATTGGTTATTTAATTAACCAAACATATAAGGATACATTTACTTGAAGTAGATTTCAGAGTGGGATTGTATTTGGTTATGTTTTTCTTTAAGGCAATAACTGGATTATGTTAGCAACCTATTGACATCACCAAAATCTGTAATTATTTGAGATGCTTAGCCAAGTCTTTGGTGCAATTTTTTAATTTTTATATTTTTTATTTTTTATTCAGCATGTAAAATGTTTGCCAGTCTAAGGTTTTCTACCATTTTTTCCAGATGAACTCCTTGGTTGCACTTGCTGTATGTTTGAGGTTATTGTAATGAAGCACAGCCCAATGAGTGGATGCATTTTCTTCTGCATAATGAGGCATTTTTTCAGAAACTTCAGAATTTATTCTGATTCTTCCATCCTTAGTTACCTGACCAATAAAAATGTTTGAACTAGTTCCACTTACGATGCTATTTTACGATTTAAAACCAACCTAACCCTGCCAGGTGCTTCTTATAAGATATACATTGCACATATATGTTTTATGTATGTGCTGTACTGTATATATTTGTCCTGTGGATAAGTTGTGTGTACAGTGACAGGCAGAGCACTGAATCTGTTGCTGCATGATGCTGAATTCCTTGAAATCCACAACCAACCATATAATAATAACTGCACAGAGAATGATCAAGGCAGGGAATTATTCTGGAAGATACTCCTGTCAGAGTCTGTCGTTGTCAGCTGGCTCCTGTCTGCCCACGTCAGAGGGTGTCAGTGTGTCAGAGAAAGAGGGACTGACTGGGCTCGCCTGCGTCATGGAGATCAAGCTGTGATCTGTGTGCCTGACGGTCGTGCCCGGTGACAATTCAATCTGCGCTTCTCAGAGAATGCCACTTGAGTCTCATTTGGAGACGGCTGGGGTGCAGTGTGCTGTAAATTTCATTTTCCGGCTAGTGACAGCTGATTCTCTCAATGTGTCCTTTTTGTGCTAAGAGCAGTTAAGCACTTAACTGCTTAAGGCTATTTCAGCACTAGAGTCCCTTGGTATTTGGTATGGAAGGTGCTTTCACAGGGCAGCAGGCATCAGGCTGAAGAACACAGCCTGATCTCTCATCAACTCAACTGTCCTCAGTCAATTTGTGTCACTCCCAGCTGTGGCAAATGCTGTCTTAGCACTCATAATGGGAGATAGAACTGTGCAGGAAGTTTGCATTATAACCTTCTTGAAAGGAATTTTGTTTTCATAAAATCAAAAGCACAGGATGACAATGACTAGGACACTTTGTGCAGCTTAAAATTTGAATAGGAAGTCCACATTTTCCTGTTTTTTTTCTGTACTGTCTTTCAGGACCCAAAACACGTGCTGGTTGAGAGTGTTTTGTTCTGTTTGTGCTCAGTTTTTTTTGACTCCCTAGCATGATGGAGTAGATGTCTCAGTGTGGAAAGAACACCTTGTTTATTTTGGAATCATACACTGGCAAATTGCTCGAGAGGGAGTTATGCTTTCTGGTGCTCCTTTTGCTTTAAACAAAGGTAGAAATAAATGCTAAGATGGATTTTCTGAAAAGATCAACAGTTCTTATCTGTGGGGATAAAATGGTTCATTCCCGGCATAGTTTCTATAAGAGGGAGTTTCGGGAAAATGTCTTCAATGGGATACTGTTTTAGCGACTGCATGGGAATATTTCATGTGCTCAAAGTAGTTGCCAGTGTTTGGGACAGTTGGCTATTTGATGTGTATTGCAATTTAGGCCATTTGTTAGCAAATGTTAGTCTGTGAAAGTGCTTTAGCATTTGAAAAACCCCTTAAAACTATTGTGGCAATGTGGGGCCAAAAACATCATAAATGAGAATGACTGAAGGAAACAAATTCAATTCAATTCATGGTACGGTATAAATAGTTGTGAAGTACAAATGTTAAAACTGTTCTCTCTGCAATTCAAAAACCCTGTAGTGTAAGACATTCATCGACTGATTAATCAACACAATATCTGTGCATATAATGCTTTGTCATCAATTTAGCTGATGTCTTTATCCAAGGCAAACAAATGTACATATAATAATAAATACATCAATAATGATAATAACCTAGTGATTTATAAGTATAATAAATATTGAATGTTCCAGGAACAGTAATGTTAATCAGAATATATGAAATACAGATTGACGCAGTGGTGTGGAGTTTAACACTGCAGCCTTCCTGCTCTTGGGTCCTGAGATTGATTCCAGACTGGGGTTCCTTGTGTGAATTTTGCAAGTTCTCAATGTGGCTCTGTAGATTCGACCTGGGCAATCAGATTTTTACAACAATCCAAATGCATGCTGTGTAGTTAATTTGTCGTGTCTAAAGACCTGTTCCCTGTGCCTGTGTGTCCAGTGATCGATTGGCATCCCAGCCAGGGTGTATCCCGCCCTTTTCTGTCTGTCTGCCAGGCTGGGCATATGTGAGGTAGTTTATGTTTTCCACTTGTTTTCTGTGTGCACTGTGGCTGGCAGTGCTTGATTTTTTTAAACTTGTTTTGAAGGTTGCGTGCTTGTTTTGATCAGTTACATAATGACATTAACAAAGCTTTCTTTCACTGTGGTCTTTTTATGTACTTAAATTGAGAAGATCTTTAACAGATCTTTTGTATTAATTTTGATTTGATGCATAGCCCCCACAGAGGTGAAATTAACTTGCGCATTGTAGGATTTTGCTTATAGTGCTTCGGAAATGTTCAAATACTTTTTATTTAACAAACAAATACCTGTAGTTCAGAATTTCCAAATATAAAATGCAAATAAAAACATACTGCACTTGAGACACTCACATTTCTCTCTCCATCTCCAAAACCACATGCAACACAGAAAATTAGGTCATCACACCATTGTTGTAACTTCTGTTGCTGCTAGTCAGGAAGCCCTTTCAGTGTATGGAATGTTCTTACACTGTTCTTACACGCTTGTAAAAGCAAGCCAGTCAACACTTTCCACTTGTGTCTAGTGCAGAGTGCCAGTAATGGCCTTTGATCTCACAGACCAGGGTTACAGATTATCAGGTACTGCGTAGGCACTTTGCTGACTTTAGTAGATGGACAGTGACCCCTCTCAAGTTTTTGCTCTTCTGTTTTTAATTCCAGAACAAACATACCCCTTCCAAATGTCAGTGTTTATTTCCATGTCATGCCTCAAGATACACTGCTCTGTACGTTCTCTCTTCAATCGATTTATATTTTATAACTACTAGATATGGAAGCTGGTTACAACTGCAGAACCCTGAATTGTTGCAGGATAATGCAGAGCAGCTGCTGTACGGTGCTGTAGAAAGATAAGCAGGATCTGAGGAAAAGTCCTCTTTATTCTCTGTTATGAGCTCTTTGATCTCC